CGCAGAAACACTTGAAGAGCTACAGACATTGGTGAATAAGATAGCAGACTACAGCGAAGAATATGGACTATCTTTGAACATAAAGAAAACGAAATTTATGGTAATATCGAAATCAACACAAAATGTCCAAAATTTATATTTACACAATGAAATTATCGATCGAGTTAGCAAATACAAATATTTAGGCACTTTTATAAATGAAGACAACGATAGCTCAGCGGAAATCAAAATAAGAATAGAAAAAGCCAGATCCATATTCACTAAAATGAAGAGAGTGTTCTGCGGAAGAGATTTGAGCCTTGAAATGAAACTTCGCCTGATGAGATGTTACGTACTTTCTGTGCTGTTTTACGGAATGGAGTCATGGACGTTAAAAAAGATTGATACCAAAAAATTAGAGGCATTTGAACTGTGGATGTATCGCAGAATCCTGAGAATATCATGGACCGAGAGAGTCACAAATGTCGAGGTCTTGAGAAGAATGAACAAAGAAAAGGAAGTCATATTTACAATCAAAAAACGAAAACTGCAATACTTGGGCCACATTACAAGAGGCGAAAGATATGAACTGCTTCGAATAATTATGCAAGGGAAAATAGCAGGAAAAAGGTCCATAGGAAGAAGACGAAACTCCTGGCTAAAGAATCTACGGGAATGGTATAGTTGTAGCAACAACGAATTGTTTCGGTCAGCAGTTTCGAAAATACGTATAGCCCTGATGATCGCCAACCTTCGGAACGAAGATGGCACTTGAAGAAGAAGGTGTCGTGTGAAGCTGGTTTTGTTACTGCCTTATTGCTTCGTAGAAGTCCTGATTTCTTTCTTTTAAAATTTTTCTTTAATGCAGCTCAATTTCTGCTCTAAGAATAACCTTTTTACATATCGTCTTCACCACCAGTCGTGTTTTAGCAAATGCTTCTCTACTTTTTATATTTCTTATCCGTAAGCTGTTTAGTCGGCTGCTTCTTGTATTTTTTCTTTTATTTGGTGTTTTTTGTTCCAATTTAACTTTGACCAAGAAGTTGTCTGTATTTGTATCCGCTCTCATATTGGTTCGACTATCTTTTATGACTTTCATATGTTTAGCTTCTATTAGTACATGGTATATTATGGCCTGTTTGATTACTTGTCTGATGATGTACAAGTACCTTTATTGATTTCTTTGTGGTCAAAGTAAGTACTCAAAGATTAAAAAAGTTGTGGTTTTCTGTAGGGCCACAAGGTTAGAGCGGCGAAAATGCCGCAGACTAACTCCTTAGGGGCCCAGTCCGTATGATAGGGATGATACAATAGATCCGCCTTAGGAGGTCTAAGTGTCTGAAAGGCTCACAAATGTGCTCGGATCTACTATAATTTCCTATCAATAAGTACTTATGATTCGTATAATATATTTCAAAGCAAATTCTATTAATATTCTGCCTTCTAGATTACTATTATTGTGTTAACTCTTTTCGCCTGTTATTTGATCTTCCCTAGCAATATTTGCAATAAAATGTTTTATATTTAACATCTTTGTCCGTATTTTCTGTAGGTGCATGTACGTCTATACATATTATTTTTTATACTTGCACCTTGTTCATGTCTTACATAACCTGCCTGTGACTGCTTCAAAATATATTACTAAATCAGCAATTTTTCTTCTAATAAGAAATCCAACCCCAAATAATCGTTTATTGTCTCCACGGTTAAAGAATACGTAATTTTCCATGCTTTGCAGAAATTTAGATTTTTTGAGTCTCCTGAATGACTGCAATACATATTCCATATGTGTCCAAGATACCTGTTAAATCTTTATTGTTCACATTCCATTGTCCAATCGTAATCCTATTTCACGCCGTATTAGATTCTAAAGTTTCCTGAACGTTGTACTTTTTTGTAACTAATTTTTGTTATTTTTTCGAGCTTTTCGATATTATATTTCTGTCATTCATTGTTTACACATTTTTTGTGATTTTCAACCTTCGTTTCACTATCTTTTTCCTTTTTCTCTCTCGCCTTATTCCTTAGTTCTTTCTGTAGCTTTGCTTCAACTTGTGTTGAATCAGTTTTAATGAAATAAAGTTGGTAGCATCTTTAATTATCACTTTAACAATATTTTATTCGACTCATTAAGCCCTAGGCTCTTCAATTTAATCATGGATGAAATCATCAAAAGCAATAAAAAAGAAAGAGGATACAGAATGGGTAACAAAAAATTAAAAATACTCTGTTACGCAGACGACGCGATATTGATAGCCCAAAATGAAGATAGTCTGGAAAGACTGGTCCACAGAGACAATCTCTTCTCGGAAAACTAAAAAAATAGTAATCAGCAAAGAATCAATCATATGTACAATAGAAATTGATGGCATCAGTATTGAGCAAGTAATGAAAATAAATTACTTTGGAATTATACTGTTCAGCTATGGAGATGTGGATAGAAAACACATTAACACTGAGGTAAAGTCAACAATTTATAAAGCCAGTGTAAGACCAATAATGATATATGCCTCATAAACAAGACCGAACACAGCCAGAACACAACGGCTACTGGAAACGGCAGAGATGAGAGTGCTGAGGATAATTACAGGAAATACGCTAAGAGATCGAAAGAGAAGTGAAGACATTAAAAGCAAATGTAACGTACAGTGTATAAACTAATGGACTCTCAATAGAAAAAAAGAATGGAACAACCACATAAGCAGAATGGAGGAGACTTGTATCGTCAAATTAGCAAGAGATAAATCATCAATTGGCAGAATGATCGGACTATCGCGCAAAAGATGGAGTGACAACCAATGAACAAGCAGTATTGCTTATAAAGAGAAAGAAGAAAAAGACAATATGGTATTTTTTAAATTGGTTATATCATCTTCCAATTCTGCTTTCCAGGAAATCTACCTTTTCCTTAAGTTCTAAATTTTCTTTTCTCAAATTACATATTCCATCTTGAAAATTGTTTTGATCTTTTCGGATTGCTTAAGTTCTACTATTAATAATTTCCATTATTGATTTTGTCACCCTTTCTTAATTGTGGTCCTAAATACCTTTTTACTCCTTATGAAAAGTTTATCATTACGTTCTTCTCCTTTGTCCTTATTACTCCATCTCTTTCTTTTTCCATCTTCATTGGATGATTTTTTACTTTCAATTTAGGTTAGTTTTTTCTTACTAGAAATACTATATATGTATTGTTTAGAAAATCATCACTTATTGGTCTTTTACTGTAAAGGTCACAAAAATACTAGTACTTCAACTAGTACTAAAATCCACTTCAACCTCTCGTAGCTCGTAATACAATTGTTTGTATGAGTTAACTTTTTTTTTTTTTTTTAAAATAAACCACTAAAAACGTACTTCGAGGAAAAATCAAGTAAACGAAAGACATAAATTAACATCAAAAGTAGTTTAAAAAAAGAAGAATGCAATGCTAGCTACTTGGACTGACTCTCAGAGATAGGGTTCATCATTCAATCTTCGCTTTTCCACCACTGCTGGACATAGATTTCCCTAAGAATTTTTCATCTGTTTCGATCTTATGCCTCTTGCAACCAATACCTATGGCAACGTTTAGAACGTCAGTCCACGTGTTGGTGGACGACCTCTGCTTCATTAGGCATCATCTCTTGGTCTCCATTCGAGTATCCGTTTTGTCCATCTGCTATTTGTCATTCGAGCCACGTGACCTACCCAGTTCGACTTCAGTGTCGCTATTATTTCTACAGCATCAGTCATGGGGCTGATGTTATAGAGAGAGGGTTAGAAACGAAGACATAAGAAGGACACGTCACAGATGTCATAAAGCGTATAGCATGACTGAAGTGGGCCTGGGCGGACCATGAGGTCAGAATGAACGACGAGCAGTAGACCCAAAAAATTACAGTATGAAGACCACGAGCAGACAGAAGAAGCAGAGGTAGACAACTTACACGATGGACAGATGACGTCAAAAGAATCGTTGGGAATTGGCTGCAGGAAGCTCAAGACAGAGAGAACTGGAAGAAATTAGAGGACGCAGGGGACGAAACTTTGGACGCAGAATGCTGGATGATAATGATGATGATGATGATGAACTTGATAATTTCAGCAGAAAAAACAATATGTATGATTGTGTCAAATAACCCGCTTAGGGGCAAGTTGAAGTTAGAAGTAAAAAATATCAAATGGCTGATAGAGTTAAAATTTTTGGGTATAACTCGATCAAGCCACTGAAAAATTGTGACAACTGTGTAGAAGAACAATGGAATAGACTAAACAGAGCCTGGGGCTGTCAGGGATGTCTGAATGATGAAAAACGGAGATGTTTGAATGATACAGTATGGTACTTTATGATACAATGTGGAGGAAAAAAATATAAAGAAAATAGTTAAAAGCAGAATTTACAAACCAGTTGTAAGGCCAATAATGGTTTATGTTATGGTATGATAGGGAAAGAAACATAAACATTAGACACAGATAGAAAATAAAAAACATTAATGAACCAAATAAAAGAAGAAGAAATTTATTTAATTCATCTTATTTTCCCCATTTATTCAATGTTCATACTCAATTTATAAGAAAAACTTTTAATGTGCAACCACTTTAATTTAATTTGAAAACAACTAAAGTAATTAATAAATCCTGAACATCTGTGTACATGATAAAAATACTATCTTCACTTTTTTATTACTAAAAATCCGTTCTATTTAATTTATGTTTAGTACAATTAGTAGGTAATAGATAGCATTATATTTTACACTCAGTGGCAACGTTTCAATGCCTACCTAACAATTTGACCTCTATCCCCACGCTGTGGCCAATAGCTCTAACTAGGTCATTCAATCCGACCAATAGGCGAGTTGCTCCCCCGTCACATGCATTTGTTGTTATCATCAGCTGGGTCCGGGCTCGCTAAAATCCGCATACCGACTTACTGTCCTCATTCTATCTCTCTCTACGCGAGGGCGTAGAAGGAGACGCGTACGAAGGTTATCGCGTGTCAATCAGCTGTTGTTACTCCGATGTAGCCGGCCGGCTGCTTAGTTGTTCCACAACTGTTTGTCGCAGCGCAAGCCTCAGCGAGTCACTCGTATTCTCTGATAAGTATGTGCATTACTGATTATAACCAAATATCAGTTATTGTTGAGTATGTAAAGTGTTTTAAACTAAGACATCTTCAACAGTCAGTGCACAGGTTGTTAGTTAGAAGACTGTACTTTACGGATGACGTTGTATTGTGAAAAATTTTAAACAGACTTTGGAAGTTTTGTTCAATAAAATTCGTAGTTTTTTTTAAAGTTATTTGCGAAAATGTCGACGGGAAAACGTCTAGCGAAACGTTCTATTATCGGTACTCGTGTTTGTGCCCCAGGAGAAGACGGAAAATACTACTCAGGAGTGATACAAGCCGTCAAAACCCCGGCGAATTTTTCGGAAAACAGCAACTGTATTAATTTAACCCCTAATACCCGTTACACCGTTCGTTTCGATCCGCGTCAAGGAAATTTGGGCAGAACGAGCTGCGAATTCCACGAGAGCCAGCTCATCGGACCCGGTTTTCAGTCGGTGCTTGGATTAGAGCTAGTGCAGGGACAAAAATGTTTCGTTACTTATAACGGCCGCGAAAACTCTGGAGAAGTGTGCAAACACCATACCGAAACCGACGAAGTTATCATCAGAATACACCCCATAGGCATCGAGGTAAGTCAATAAATTTGAATCTTCGAAGATTTTGTTACTTATGCTACACAATTAGCTACCACGTGTCAGATTTTTCTGCTACTGATAAATGTTGTTTGTATCCTTAATATAACATATTTCTTGTTTCATTTTGTTACACATAGTCCACATTAAGATAAGATAGTGAGAATCTATTGAAATAATAAATAATTGCTGTCAACATTTTTCAAAAATGCCGGTAGTTTAGTTCAATTGTATATTTTAAAAATTAGTTTTCTGTTAATGAATATATTCGTTATGTATTTATTTTTCATACAGTTAATTAAACTAGTTCTACATATCAACGTAAAATCCAGTTTCCTATATTTTTCAAGGAATGAATCGGCCTTCAAGTGATAATAAAATCCTCGTAGCATCCCGAGCCGGCTTTTCCAAGATTTATCTGGTGCGTAGTATTTGTGACCGAGCAAAGGCTTATATTTCTAAACAACTTCCAACAAACCAAACGCGTAGGTTACTCGAGCTTAATGTACGCACAATACACCGGCAGACCTGTTAAAATTTTTCAAAAGAACATCAGCAGGCTAAATTCAAATTCCTCTGGTCCGCTGTGATCGCAGCGCTGTTGCCATTTTTATGTATACCGGTTAAATTATGCCGAAATGATACAAAAGATGAAAATTTATGGATTATTTAAAAAATAAATAGAATTTAAATGGAATGAGACATATTATGTTTTCATATATAAATACGTCAGTTAGATGCAAATGGGAAATTGCCATATTTTGTTACTTTTTCATTTAAAACCATTTGTTGGCTGTCTTTGTTTACTATTTATTATATACTCTTACTACATTAAAACAAGAAAAACCGATACAAAAGACATTACAGGTTTAGGAAGGCACGTAAACTCTTACAGAAAAACAGTGACCTTTTTAACATATTTGACTTTAACTATCCTTCAAACATTACTTAAATGAAAAACATTTTGAATTTTTTTTTTTTTTCGTTTTCTTTTATATACATCAATAACTTTTTCTGTAAAGTATATTTAGTTAAGTACTTACAGCTTTGTTATTTTCCACCATTTCCATATAACTCGTTTTTGTGTTGCATTGTGGTATATCTTCGATCGTATAGTCAGTTTTTTCGTAATCTTACTAGACTTGATTGATTTATTATTTGTGTCCAAACTACATACATCAGTTTTAATCATTGTTTGCACCACTTAGGTGCATCTTGATTTATTCAATGGGCTTTCATCTTTTGTCTCCTTAAGTTCTCTATTTTTCTAATGTTTCTTAAATTATTGCAGAATAATTTCTTCCATAGTACCCCTTCGTATCTTACATTTCCGTGATTTCGAAGATTCTTCTATTACCATCTTCTATTATAGTGTACCATATCATAATAATAAAAAGTAGTGATACAGGGATATCCTTTTTTTATATTTTACCAGGTAAGCCTTCAGACATTGAACTGATTCTATTCTTCTTCTTAGAGTGCTGTCTCTCTACAGAGGTTGGCAGTCATAACTGCTATTTTTTTTTTATTTTTGAACTTGCTGTTCTAACAAATTAATGGATTTGCATTGATACCAATTATGTAGATTCTTCACCCAAAAATTCTGTCTTCGGCCAACAGATCTTCTTCCTTGAATCTTTCTCGGTATTATGAGTCTTAAAATTTCATATTTTGGTCCCCTCATCACGTGGCCTAAGTATTGAAGTTTTCTGGTTTGTATAGTGGTGATTAGTTCTGTTTCTTTACCACCCCTCTCCAGTACTTCTTTATTTGTAATTTTATCAGTCCATGATATTTTTTGAAACTGGTTGGTGGTCTTCCTTGAATCTTTCTCTGTATTATGAGTCTTAAAATTTCATATTTTGGTCCCCTTATCACGTGATCTACTTTAGGTTTCCAGTTTTTTGGTTTGTATAGTGGTGATTAGTTCTGTTTCTTTACCGACTCTCTAATTTCTTCTGACACCATCTAATTCTATCAGTGCATGATATTTTTAAGACTGCCGTATTACCAGAGTTCGAAAGCCTCTACCTTTTTTAAATTTCATTGATTTAATGTGTCCAAGTGTCAGCTCCATATAATAATACTAAACTTGTAAATAATCATAATATTTAATTGAGTTTTTTGTACCTACACAATTTTGTTTCACTAACAATCACATACAAGGATATGTACGTGTCAAACTGATGTTAAAGAAATATATATATTTTTATTATTTATATATTTTATTTTTTTGTAAAAATACTCTTAATTGGATATGTTCAAGAAACAATTAAAAAACAAATGAAAATATGAAGCAAATGAAATATATACATCTATAACCTCTAAAAAAACTTAATCTATATATCGAAAAATATAAAGTAATATATAATATAAAATTCTATCAAAAATGAAATAATAAAATGTAGAAATATTTAAAATATATTTTTAATTTAGTAACCATATGTAAATATTTATTTTAAATGTATGTCTCCCAGGAAGCTGCTAATTTTTTGTAATAAAACAAAGGATATCTGCAATCGTCTAAAACCCGTATCGATCTGACAACACTGCACCGGATCTATGTTTTGGTTTGATCTGATCGTGCGCAAGCACGGAACCTCTCCCTCCTAATTGGTAATTGCATCCTTGTGACGTCATTCGTATAAACAAGGCAGAATACCGTTCACGGTCGATTTTTTGGTGTTACCTACTTTATATGAAAACGTACATGGCCAGGCCAGTTATGATGCTGTAACCAAGCCATGTTTCCTTTATTTTAGAGGTTTCCGTTTGAAACGGTTTATCGGAGGAACGTTTTTAAGTAGTGATTTCCCTTTTGTCTTATCGCTGGGACTTTTCTTTGTTTACCGGTGTAACTAACGGTCGTTCTTTTGCAAACAAACGTTTTGGGTTATCAGTAATTTATGCTGCCTACTTACCTAATAAACGTTTTAGATAATTTAAGGTCAAATTCTATCACGTGCAACAGTTTCTAATGCGCCATTCTATTCATAGAGGAGAATAAAACTAAAATATGATTTGTTTGTGGATAAATACATTTTTTTTCAAACACACAAAACTGAAAGGATTGTGAGATTAAAACCAAAGAGTTAAAAAAAATTGTTGAGCAACTTCCCTCCCTAAAATAATGTACTAGACTTTGTATGCCGCAATTGACTTAAATTGTCCATGGGTGAAGGTAAATCTAGTCTAAAGATAGGACATAAAACATAACCCAATAAGAAAAATATGGCCAAGAAACATTTTCCATTAGATAGATTCCATAGATTCAACAAAATCAACAAAACTGGTGATAATCGGTCTCCCTGGCGCAATTAATCATTCCTTTGATCGATATTTGGTATTCCCAGCTCTTGTATTTTATACATTTTATTCCGATTTACTCAATTGTGGACTTCTGCAAAATTTATAACCAGTAACAGTGCATATAAACATAAAATTTTTTGGTTTTAGCGTGTGTAGTTTAGATTTCTTTTACAGCAAATATTTAACATGACGTTAACCTATTTTTTTCAATAAAAGATCTACAGAATCCTTATCCCGTGTATGAACTCTGACTCTGGTATCCTTTTTACGTTTTGTACACTCATTTAATTACATAAAATCATCAATTCAACGATAACTTTTAAATATTTTTTTTATAAACAAAAAAAAGTAAAAAATCGGAATCAAATAAACCCTCTTAAAATCGCAAACTTCATTTTCGAAGGACAAATAGATATGGGGTACCTAGTCGAGACTCAAGGTTACTGTCTTTAGTGGTATTCAGTGAGGTAAAAAGTAATAAAAAATGTGTTTTTGTAGAGTCCAGTGTACAATCCTTCATTGACAAAGAAGAAAAAATAAAATAGAACCAACATTTTCTGTAATTTTTTTATCATTATGATCTCTCCTAGTTAGATGTTTAAATATTTAACATAAGTGAATCAGTCTTAAGTCAAAATTAGTTATTTACATAATTGTTCTATTTTAGCATAACTCTGAACCGAAACCGCTGAGTTAGGAATTTAAATTGTTTACATACTTCAAAAATATCCTTTTCCGTCTTTTGATTTAAAAAGTATATGCAGTATAATGTCTGAATTGCCAATATGAATGAATCAGAAAAATTGAAGCTATGAGAGCAGGAGTGGGCTAACCCCAAATATCTTGTAATTTTACCGCACTATGATACTATGCTCTGTTTCTCCAGATTTACTAGAGATCCAAAGGGTCTGGTCGTTTTAATCTTCTTACGTGTGAAATGTTGAGCAGATCCGTGGCCAGAGGATTTGGATGGCAGGATAGTCTGGTCTTATATACAGAGTTTGCAGTAGATATTGCTTCGCTAACTGTTACTAACTCTAGATCGTGGTGTAATCTGTGGTTCGTAATATACCAAGGGGCATTGCAGATCTGGCGCTGTACTTTCGATTGGAATCTTTGAAGTTTTTGTATGTTAGTATTCCTTGCTGTACCCCAGATTTGTGCTACATATTGCCATACCGGTTTTAAAATACATTTAAGTATATATCAGAAGTTTGTTCTCCAGGCTAAGATTTGATTTTCGACTCATGTACCAATACATTTTCCTGTAGGCTGAGTTGAAGGCGTTTCTTCCAGATGTTGGTGCCTCAATTAAGTTATCCAACTGTATTCCCAAGTATTTAACGACGGTATTAACTGGTAATGGAGTGTTGTTGATGAATGAATTTGCTCGACAGTACCATGTTGTTTCCTAAACCCAAACTGATAATTCACACTATTAAATCCAAGAGCCTAACATGAACATAAAAAATCAGGATATATAAAACAGTAATTAGACCGGTGCTCATGTATGGGTGTGAGACGTGGACGCTGACAAAAGCAATGGAAAGTAAACTCAGATGCTTTGAGAGAAAAATCCTCAGAAAGATCTTCGGTCCCTATCACGATCCGAATACTAACCAATACCGAATGAGAACAAATGCCGAGGTCAAACAAATGTATAGTGCTCGCGACGTAGTCCAAGAGAT